CTGTGAGTCAGCAGAAGCAGAGAGGGCTTGGGGGCTCTCTGCTTAGATCCTTCTCCAGCTCAAAGAGGGCCCAGGGAGGAGTCCACAGATGAATGTGAGGACCTGGGACCCTGCAGGTAGCTGAACACTCCAGACCTGAGGCACACAGTAGGTGCCTTCTGACTGGACAAGCCCCCGCTGAGTTAGAGCTCATATGAGGCCGTTCCCCAGAAGAACAGTGGTTCTGGGGATGCCTGAGCCCTTTAGGGGAGGTAGTACAGATTTTGCAGCCCCGGGCAGGTACAGCAGAGATGTATGAGATGGTCCTGGATCAGAGAGACAAAGAGGGATGCCTCTTAACCAGATCCCATTTCCCTTGTGGGAATAGCAGGAAATGAGCAAAACGACCCAACTCAACCTCCAGTATCTGGACAGACAGATGGGGACCTGAATCCCAGCCATTAGCCAGCCCTCAAAAGATGCCCCACAGCCACGGAGCCTGGAGGTCAGGGTCTGGAACTGCTCTCTAGGATTTGCCCTTAGCCCTGGACACCACCTGGTCCTCCCAGAAGCAGCTTCTCCCACCCCCCAGAGGGGTGGGAGCCCAGCTTCGTGTCCACCACACATGGGCCTGGCGCCTGGTACATAGGAAGCGCTTACAAAATGGTGACAAAATACAGTGACCATGAGAAGCACATGGCATTTGCTGTTGTGGGCAAGTCACTGACCCCATCTGAGCCTCAGTTTCTCATTTGTCTACAAAATGAGACTAGTAATAGTATCTACTGGATGGAGTTACTGGGGAAATTCAGTGCGTTTATGTGTAAAATGCCGAATGCTATGTACGGTGCCCCTCACGTGGGGCCCATGGAGGAGCAAGTGTTATTTTTGAGCACCTTCAACATACTTGGTGCTATCCTGGTTAGGGCCTAGGGGTGTTTTGTAAGCATTTTCACATTTAATCCTGTATTAACTGTAAGTTTAGGTGCAGTCATGACCCCATTGTCCAGAAGAGGAAGCTGAGACCTTGAGGTGAGAGACATTACCCGATTCCCCAGCCTGGGTGGTGGCAGAGAAGCCTGAGCTCCCAGCCCCCAAGCGGGGTTAAAGGCTACAGGTCAGAGCCCAGGGTGTCATCCTTTGGAAGTGCCGCCAGGCAGGAGCCTGCTGGGCCTGAGCCAGGTGGGAAGGAGGGTGTGGAGGTAGAGCCAGGGCCCGCCCCCAAGCAAGTGAGCCTGGAGCCCTACCCCTGCCTGTCCAGCCACCCAGGCTCTGCCTGGAAAGCAGCCCCACGTAAGAGACAACACCTACAGGGGGTTTCCAGGTGAGGCCCCAGGCCTGGCCCTCGGCCAGCCCGAAACCACTAGCAAACAGGACCCTTTTCCCCATCCCTGCCCGCCCACTGGCCGAAGGACCCGGCTGCTTTTCCCTCCGGGTTAAGGAGTGCGGGGCAGGCTGGGAGCCCACAGGGTAAAGAAGTGGCGTCCACTTCCTTCCTGCTTCCCTGGCTGGATGTCCCCCACCCGGCCTGCTCTCCCCACCACCCAGAGCCCCTTCCCCACCTGCAACTTTCCCATCTTGGGGGGGGTGGGTTAGATTTGAGCCCCAAATGAGCAAGTGTGTTCTTCCAGAACTGCTTAAATATGGACTATGCTGTCTCTAAAGGGAGTAAATGATCCACTAAGGACAGGGTGGGCTGGCTTGGCGCCCCCTTTCTTCCCTGGCCTCAGACTAGTTATGCCGTCTGCGGGCACAGTGAGGACCTCAGGACACCATGAAAGGTCTGCGTCCGTCGCTGGCGCGCCTGACAAGACGCCTTTTGTGCCTGTCTGGGCAGCCCTGCTAGGGTCTGCTTGGCCTGCAGAGAGAGCCGTGGGTGAGTGAAGCAAAGCAGAGCCAGGAGAGATTCTTCTTATCGCACAGGGTCTGATAAGGCTGGGTGGGAGGCGGCTTGGTTTGTCTGAACCCCAAGGAGCTGGATGCGTCTGCAGCAGCACGCTCACCCTGCCCCCACCGCTGCTTAATGCACAGTATGGATCGGGCAGCTCCTTCCCAGACACGCCAGCCCCGTGGGGAGGGGTTGTCTCGGCAGTCCTGAGGGGCAGCCCTGCTGACGTGGCCCAGCGCCCAGACCCAGCCGGAGATGTGGAGTGTGGGGACGGCTGGGCGCCCTCCCCCAGTGCCGTGCTGGGCGCTGTTCCCGAGAAGGGCCAGAGCCCAGTGTCCCCTGCCTCAGGCCCAGAGGAGCTGCTGCTGCTTCACAAACAGCCTGGTCCAATAGCACTGCTTATGGGCTCCGGTTCTAGCCATAGACCAGCTGCGTGACCCTGGGTGGGCCCCTCACCCTCTCTGAAACTTGCTGTCTGTGTAATGGGGATGGGGTACTTGTGAGCATCGAATGGGGTGACGAGAGTGGACAGGGGTGACGAGAGTGGACAGTCTGGCCTCCAGCAGATTCTCAGCCCCTGGCTGCTGCATTTATGTCCTCTCCTAGGGGCCAGGGGGCCAGGAATTCCCCCTCAGATTCTTGATGGCTCTACATCTCTTTGCCTGGGGCCAACCACTCACCTGAAGCCTCTACACACACTTATGGGATGGGGTCTGGAGCTTGAGAAAGAAATGGCTGAAACAACCAGGGTGGGTGGGGTCTCCTGCAGCGGCCTCCCTCCCAGGCAGGAGGGGGCCTCGTGGCCCAGAGCTCTCTCTGCAGAACCCTTACCTGCCTCCCACTGGACAGTGGTCCTCATGGAGGAGGGCCCACCACTCTGCTGCTTACTGACCTCCCTGAGCCTCAGTTTCCCCAGCTGAGCAACAGAGCTTCACTGCTTGGCTCACCCCACCTGTGAGACTCGAGGTGACTGGACAGAAAAGGAGACACCTTATGGAAGGGACAGCCTTTACCGGTAGGAGCAGCAGGGGCTTGAGCACAGCCCCTCCCCGACTTTGAGACCAGGGGTCAGTCATGACCTTGGGAATTGCTTCCCGCTTTTGTCCCAGAGCCGCAGAGCCCCTCAGGAGGCTGGAGTTAGGGCAGCACGTGCCATGCACCTGTGCCCCCCATGGTCTTTCCCCTCCGCCCCCAGGGCTTGTGGAACTTAGCAGAGCAGTAAGGTGATGAGAAACTTCTCCTGGACACTGGGGGAAGGAAAAGCCCCAGCCCCGCGGGCGGTGTAGACTGACTGGCGCGTTGCCCGTTAGGTGGGCTCAGTCAGCTCCTTGTCTTCCGGGGCCTCAGCTGCTCTGGGCCAAGGCTGTATTTCATCTTAGCCCACTCATGTCACCAGTCCTCAGCCTCAGCTTTTTACCCAGCAGTGGCCGAGAGACATTTGTCATCAGGAAGCCTTGGCTGATACCGAGATGGAAGCTTCTGGCTTCCCTGGGATTCAGAGGGTGTTTGTCTGTGTGAATGGGGGTCCACAGGCACCCTCGGGCCTTTCCCGTCAGCCCCCTGAGCTGTGCCCAGTATTGAAGGGGCCCCTCTGCCCCATCCCCCACCGGGCTCTGGAGCTCTTCACTGCAGACAGGCCCAGCTCCCTCCCCTCCCCAGGGCCCCAGCCTGAGCCTCCCCCGCCCTGCCCTCCTCCTGTCACTCGCCACACTGCTAATCAGTCCCTTGGTGGCCTGTGATTGCGCTCCCCAAGATATTTTTACCTTATGCAAATAGGTGATATAGAGGTGCCCTCATCTGTCAGCAGCAGCCCCAGTTCTCCCCCCACCTCCAGCTGGATTCCTTTCACTGATAGAGCTGGCCGAGCATCACAGCCTCGCCTTCTAGATCTTTCCAGGCTTCTTCAGGCAAACCGTGTCCATTAACGGTGGTGGACATCCGCCTTTACAGACACACAGGAGCCTCAGGAAAGGTTTCCATGCTTGGGAAGAATGGGGAGGGCGCCCATAACACTGCCAGTGTCTGGTGGAACTGAAGGAAGGGGGCCCTGGGCAGGAGGGGTGAGGGGGGTCCATGGGGGATGCCACAGGGTGCTCCTGCCTCCCCCAGCTGCCCTGCCCCCACCCAAGCCTGCCTTGTCGGAGCCTGGATCCTTCAACCCTGTCGACCGGCACAACAGGCTGCCACTCTAGGAACAACCGGGCAGTGCCCCTGCCCCCACCAGCCTCTGTCATTAATACCGTGTTGACTGAGCACTTTCCCCTGCCCAGCACAGTGCCAAGGGCTCCTGTGGACTTGCCCATTTCATCTTCACAGAAATCCATGAGATGAGGCAGGTCTTGAGTCAACCCCCTTTTACGGACTGAGGCACAGCGAGCAAAGTGGCTGGGCCAGGATCTGTACCCAGAGCCGTGGTCGTTTCTCAACTCGGTGTCTGCTGCGTTGTCCTGCGAGGCCTCGAAGTTGTGGCTGGGCATCCTCAGGCTCTGGCAGTCTTCCCGCGCTGCCCTCGTTGGCTCAGCCTCTGCTCCCTCCAGCAGCAGCCTGGGCGGTGCTGAGCCAGGCTGTGTGGGCAACCCATCCATACCAGGGGCCTGGGCAGGTGCCAGGGCTGGGCTGGCGAGTGGCACTAAGGGAAGCCAGTACCTTTGGAGCTGGATGTGACCCTGGTGGCAGACAGATGTGAGCGTGGCCCAGGCCAGCTGACACATGGCTGTCAGCCCAGAGCAACTACCTTGTCCAGCTGCCATCCTGCCCCGTGGGCCCTTGATATGCAGCCCTCACCTTCCAGAGTGTCTCAGAGAGCAGGCCTTTAGGTCCCCTCACTCTGGGGGTTTCCAGAGACCAAAGATAGACAAGGAAGGGTTCAAAGGACATGCTTCCATGTAGCCCAGGCCCACAGCAGTCCCTGGCCTCTGCTCACCAGCCTCCCACAGTGGTCACCATGTTCTCGTGGCCTTGGGGGCACCAGGTGGGCAGGGCAGAGTTCCCTTCCTTACCACCACTCAGCTTGGCTCACTGGGGATCCCGTCCACCGGTTTTGACTGCAGTGGTCCTGTCTGCTCACAGACTTGCCAGCGTGAATTCCTCACTCTGCGTGTGCACCGGGTCTCCCCAAGGAGATCATAAACCCCTGGAGGTCAGGACACTTCAGCCGCCTCCTCCACGGCCTCCAGCTGGCATGGCGCCTGGCACAGACAGGGTGCTCAGAAACACTTGGCAGGATGGCTGGCTGGGTGGGCCGACACACAGACAGATGGGGGTAGATGGATGAAAAAACTTGCCCAGCAAGTCTTGAAGGGGACGGGCACCCCCACTGCGTCCCAGCTGCTTTTCCCAGGTCCATCTCTCTCACCCCACTTCCTGACAACCCCATGGCTCCCATTTTGCACACAAGGACACTCAGGCCCGGAGAGAAGACAGTTTGTGGCAGAGCAGAGACTGGACTTCAGGCCTCCTGTCCCACCCTCCTGGGCCTGGGTGGGGGGCCTGAACCCACCTGCTTTCCCTCTGGAAGGTTCAGGGTCTGTTGGGGAGCAGCACCAAGGGGCGGGTTTTCCTACTTGGTGAGAATTCAAGAGCTTCTGAACCCTGTAGGGTCCCCAGTGGTCTGCCTGGAATGGTAGAAGGCCCCACCCTGGAGGGGCCGGCACAGTAATAAGGACGGCAACTGTGGACTGTCCTCAGAGACACAGCTTCTGTCCTGATGGAGGAAGGCAAATAATAAACACCTAAGTGAAACATACAGGGTGTCAGATGGTGACAAGTGCAGGGAAGCAAGAGAGGGAGTACAGGGTACAGCGGATGGGTGTCTTTTTTACATTTGTCAGAGAACACTCCTCCAATAAGGTGATGAAGCAGACATCTGAAGAGAATGAGGGCATGAGCCATGCGGATTTCTGTGGGGAGAACACTCCAGGCAGCAAGAAGAGCAAGTGCAAAGGCCCTGAGGCCTCACAGGTAGTTCCTGTGAGAATTGGCTTTTCCTCTGAGATGGGAAGACTTTGGAGGGTTCTAGACAGAAGACTGACCAGACCTGACTTGTAAAGGCCTTTTGTTCCGGCTCTTGTGTGAGAACAGACCGTAGGAAGTGGAAGCACGGAGAGCGTACAGAAGCTCACATGGTCACCTGGAGGGAGGTGGTGACGGGAGGTGATGGTGGTGGAGGTGAGAGGTGGTGGGATGCAGGCCATGCATGTTTGGAGGTAGTGGTGCCAGAACCTGCTGACCAGGTCATGGCCTCTCCTTTGCAGAACTGGCTGCGGCTCTATGGCTACCTGCCCCAGCCCAGCCGCCACATGTCCACCATGCGCTCCGCCCAGATCCTGGCCTCGGCCCTCGCCGAGATGCAGCGCTTCTACGGGATCCCCATCACGGGTGTGCTGGACGAAGAGACCAAGGCGTGAGTCCCTCGGTCGGGCCATTCCCAGACCCCACTGGCACCTGCCCTCCTTCTGGCCTGCTCTGATGAAGGCTTGGCATGTGGAGTTTCCAGAAAAGAGTGGCCTAGATAAGAGATGGCATATGGCTTGATCCTCCGTGCTAGCTCTGATTGGTTGGGAATGGCTGCCTGCTGCCTAGTGTTGAACAAGCTCCTGAGGCCAAAGCCCAGTTCAGCAGCAAGGAGCATAGGATTGATTAGTGATGTCTGCCACAGGCATGGGAATGGGGAGGTGCAGCACACATGCACACATGTGGTTGCCTAGCTAGGCCTTGCTCTGAATCTGGCAGAGGTGATGTGACCCAAAGCCACATCCTTGATGAGCACACACAGAGCATAAGGTATCAGGGATAAGAAGCCTCAGGGTAACTCTCCTCCCATTCCTGGGTGATAGTGCTGAAAAGGGGCTCACCTTTGCAGAGCCACTGCTGGGCACCCAGTCTTCCAGTACAAGGTCACTGTACCGTTTTCCTGATGAGGATCTCGAAGCTGAGAGAGTCCCTCACCCCCTCCACACCCATATAAGGGGCAGCTGGAGGCCAGTGGGGGGAGGGTGGGAGACGGTGGACTGCCTGGAAGAGGCAGAGCCCAGCAGGCAGGCGTGTTGAGGGGAGGCTCTGTGCACCTAGGTGGATGAAGCGGCCCCGCTGTGGAGTACCAGACCAGTTCGGGGTACGCGTGAAAGCCAATCTGCGGCGGCGGAAGCGCTACGCCCTCACCGGGAGGAAGTGGAACAACCACCACCTTACCTTCAGGTAGGGACCCTGGCTGCCCAGGGTGGCGTCCCCCAGGGTACCCTCCAGAAGCAGCTGGCCCCTCTCTGCCTGGCCTGAGGCCTCAGGCTTCCCAGTGGGCTCCTCTGGAAGGCTTCCTTTCCCAGCAGCCCACTGCAGGGTGTCCGGCCTAGCCGTCCAATCTTGCCAATCCCGCTCCCATGCTGATTAGATCGGTCACCCCACTCACCCACCCACCCCAGGCAGTCTCCCTCCAGAGAAGGGCAGGACCTTTGAACTGCTTCTGCTCTGTCCTCCTTCCCTCCATCCCCTGACCCGCCAGCAACCTAGGGCTGGCCTCACCTGCCCAGATGGGCTCCTGCACCAGTGCAAACTGGGGGCTTCAGGCGTCTGAAGGGTAAGGGAGGACTGGGATGCCTGAATCCAGGCAGATGCAAGCAGGCAAGCAGCAAGTCACCTGCGCAGACCCTGGTTCAAGCACCCTCCTCCTTTCCACTGAGTCCTTTGGCAAGAAACTCCCCTGAGCCTTGAGCTCTGTGGCAGGCCCCAAGGGTTCCCCCTTCCTGTTCCAATCCAGCCATGACCCCACCCGCAGCTCCATCTCCTGAGGAAGAGCAGCCCACAGCGTCACATAGACCCAGGCTGCGAGAGTGAATTCATGATCCATGAGTTGATTCATGATCTTTGATGGAGATCTGTCCAGCACATGGACTCAATCTGCTTTATGTGGGAGATAACAGGCTTCATCATGCTGTGTGTGTGTGTGTGTGTGTGTGTGATGCTTGTTAATGTTTAACATTTACATGTTCTCAGAATAAAATTATGTAAGAAAGAAAAAATCAGAATATGTACCTTTTATAGGCATCACAGTTTTGTTTGGGTCAAGTGTGAGGCAGAGTTGCCTTTAGTCTGTACTCTTCAAGGCAGTGGAAATCTAGAAGGACAGATACTTATTATTAGGGGCTGGTATATTTGTTTAATATTTATCTGCAAGAATGATAGAATTGTTTTTAGGAGAATATGGATAGTAGGGTAAAATATAAAGGGAGAAAGAGCTCTTTTAGAATTATACATAGATTTAACCTACTAAATTGCAGAACATTGGTAGTAGAGAAACAGCATGGCATGTTGGAAAGAGGTATGTTCTGGAAGCCAGCAGTCCTGAGTTTGAACAGGCTTCATCATGCTTTTATCATGTGCAGGTTCATATATGCCCATGTTCTACCTGAGTTCAGTCATTTAATCCTCCCAGGCACGCCATGATGAAAGCGCTGCCCTCCTTTTCCCACTTTACAGGTGATGAAACTAAAATTCAGAGAGACTAAGTCACTTGCCCAAGGTCACAAAGAAAATGTTAGAGCCAAGCCTTGAACTCAGGTCACCCTGACCCTGGAGCCCAACATTCAGAACCTCTTGGCCTGTGTTTCCCAAACCTCAGCCATTTGCATCCCACTTTCTAGGTCTTTCTCTTGGCTATGTGTCACCTATACTTTTAATTACTTAATGCTTTTCTTTCTTAAAATAAGCTTATTTGGCACATTGCAACCTTATTCAGTGATCTCCTAATGAATTCCTTGGCTTCACGTTAGTTCTTTTTTTTTTTTAAATTCATGTCAAAGTAAACTAACAGTTGATATTGATGAGCATTGTCCGTGAACCAGCTCAGATCTTATCCCCTTTCCTTCAGACCATGTGTCCCCGCCCCCGGCCCAGTGAGTGCTAGCAGTGGACAGCAGCCCCAGGCCCTGTGTTCACTCACACCTCTCTCTGCCCACCTGCAGCATCCAGAACTACACGGAGAAGCTGGGCTGGTACCACTCGCTGGAGGCGGTGCGTCGGGCCTTCCGCGTGTGGGAGCAGGCCACGCCCCTGGTCTTCCAGGAGGTACCCTATGAGGACATCCGGCTGCGGCGGCAGAAGGAGGCCGACATCATGGTACTCTTTGCCTCTGGCTTCCACGGCGACAGCTCACCGTTTGATGGCACAGGTGGCTTTCTGGCCCACGCCTATTTCCCTGGCCCTGGTCTGGGCGGGGACACCCATTTCGATGCAGATGAGCCCTGGACCTTCTCCAGCACTGACCTGCATGGTGAGAACAGCTGGTCAGGGTGACAACAGGGGAGGCGAGCTGGAGCCTCAGGGCTCAGAGGAGAGAGCATCCCCTGTGCAGTCCTCGGGAGCAGTGACGCTTGGTCTCAGTCTCCTGCCCATCATCTCAAAGGAGGGGTGGTAGGGAAGGGAAGGGATCATCGTACCCATTTTCCAGATGGGGAAGCTAGAGGCCCAGAAGTCAGAGCAGTTTAGCTTCTTCTAAGAGTAAAGCATGGCCAGGCTCTCTGGCCCCCTCAGCCCACCCCAGCCCTGTCTGGGGTGTCCAGGTCCTGGGCCAGGTCAGAGCTGACTGTGCTGCCTGCCCCCACTACAGGGAACAGTCTCTTCCTGGTAGCAGTGCATGAGCTGGGCCATGCCCTGGGGCTGGAGCACTCAAGCAACCCCAGCGCCATCATGGCACCATTCTACCAGTGGATGGACATTGACAACTTCCAGCTGCCCGAGGACGACCTCCGGGGCATCCAGCAGCTGTACGGTGAGCGGGCGGCATGGGTGTGGCCGTGGTCTCTGCACGCTGCTCTCAACTCCCAGCCCTATGAGGTGTAGGTACTACTGCTACCCCCATTTTGTAGACGAGGAAACTGAGGCCCAGAGAGGATTAGTGGTTGTTCACATCATTCAGTGAGTAAATGGTGGTGCTAGAAATCAAACCCAGGGCTGGCCAACTCCAGGACCTGGCCCTCCCTCAAGGCCCTCACCCAGAGCTTTGATGATGGCCCCAGGGCCCCTCACTGCCCCCCTTTCCTCCTCAGCCTGAGTGATATTCTTATTAGACCGAGGGTGTCCCTGGGGTCCCAGGACCCCATTCCTACCACTGTCACTCCCAGCCCGTGCCTGTCCCAGTCTCTCCACTGAGTGTTGCTGGTTTATCACTTCCCAGTGCCTTTGAGGCAGGTGGCATCCCTGCCGCCCCACTGCAACCAGGCCCCAGCAGAGAAGGCCTCCAGTAGGGAGGTGTCCTGGGGGCCAGTTCGGTGGGTCAGGGCCACACTCAGTGCCCACCCTCAGCCCTCACTGTGTTCCTGGCCACCTGGGTACCAAGTTCTTCCCTCTGCTTGTGTCCACTGTTTCCTGGAGCCTCCACTGGAGCAGGCTGGCATCCTGAGGGGAACATCACCGAGGGGGGTGGAGCCAGCGGCAGCCCCAGGGGCGCAGTGACCCAAGCCCAGTGTGGGGAGGTCAAGGAAGGGGCTGTGTGGAGGAGGATGGAGGTCCTCCCAGGGCTGATGGCCGTGCGGGGGAGGGGTCTGCTGTGGCCAGATAGGGCCTTTTGCCTGGGTGGGCTGCCCATGGAGCACAGGTCTCCCCAGGCTAGGGACCCCAGGCTCCCAGGGCTCTAAGTAGGAGACCCTGGCATCCTGGCTGAGTTCCAGGGCTACCCCCTCACTTCCCCCTGCCGCCCTCCGCAGGCACCCCAGATGGCCAGCCACAGCCCACCCGGCCTCTTCCCACTGTGACCCCCCGGCGGCCAGGCCAGCCAGACCACCGGCCCCCCAGACCCCCTCAGCTACCTCCCCCAGGCGGGAAGCCGGAGCAGCCCCCAAAGCCAGGCCCCCCAGCCCAGCCTCGAGCCACGGAGCGGCCCGACCAGTATGGCCCCAACATCTGCGACGGGGACTTTGACACAGTGGCCGTGCTGCGTGGGGAGATGTTCGTGTTCAAGGTCTGGCCCTGCCTGTGCCTCCCCAGCCCCTTGGCCCAGGCTCAGAGCAGAGAGCACCCTCCCACTTCTCCCCCAGACCCTTGCCCCGCCTCCACCCCCGCTTCACTGAGCAGCCCCTGGGGAGCCATCAGACCCTAGACCAAGAAGAAACCAGCCTGAGGGACAAGAGAATTGCCCAGGATCGTACAATAAGCCTAGGAGTCCACACCCCACCCCGGCTCTCTCCCTGGTGCCGCCCTGGCTTCCTAAGCCACCTCCCCCTGGACTCTCCCTGACCAGGGAAGGGGTGGGTCGAGGAGGGCCTCCCCCCAGGCCAAGGCAGCAAGCCTGCCATGCTCGCTCACACCCATGCCCTCCCCAGGGCCGCTGGTTCTGGCGGGTCCGGCACAACCGGGTCCTGGACAACTACCCCATGCCCATCGGGCACTTCTGGCGTGGTCTGCCCAGTGACATCAGTGCTGCCTACGAGCGCCAAGATGGGCGTTTTGTCTTTTTCAAAGGTGAGCTGGGGCAGGTAGGAGGGAGGGAACTGGGCGGCCTTCCTGCCCTTACCTCTAGCCTGACCTCTGACCCAGCCGGGACTGAGGGAGGAGGAGAGGGAAGGACCGTGCACATCTCGTCTTGTTGCCCACTGTGGGCTTACTCGGGGGAGACGAGTCCTTCTGGCAGCAAGGCAGGGGTTGGGGACGTAGACAGAGACCAAAGGACTGGGCGGCAGAGGCTGCTCTGATTGGAGGCAAGTGTCTACCTTCTGCAGCACAGGGCCTCTGCCCCATCGCCCTCCTTCCTTGCATTCTGTGCCCCTTCCTTGCCCCTTCCTCATAAGAATGGGTCCCCGAGCCCACTCTGGGGCAGGATTCCTGAGTCTGTCTGTGGAGACAATGGAGCTCCCTCCCCTCAGCCCTCCCTCTGGGGCCTGCCTTCCTGGGGAGGGCCTCAAGGGCAGCACCCCTGATGGATCAGCTGTGTCCCCAGCCCCACTGGCCCGAGCCTCAACCAGGCAGGAACTCCCCGAGGACAGGGCTGGGTCCACACTAAAAGTAAGGAGCCCTGGGCCATGCACTGGGGTGCCCCAGAGATGCAGCCCCCAGACCCAGAGGCCAAGCAGGGCTCCCCCTCTTTCCTCTATCTGTATAAGAACTGTGTGGGGGGGTGGATGTTCAAGTGGGAATGGAGGCCCGTATACAGTGCGACTGTGTGTGGTGTGTGTACAGGTGTGACCTGGCAATGTGTATGTGTGTAAATGGGTGTGTCGCAGGTGTCCATGAATGTCCACTGTGTGTGATGCGAGGGTGAGTTGTGCTGTATGTTGTCATGGGTGTGTAGGTGTCAGTGCCTGTCCTGTGTACGAGGATGTGTGTCTGTGTGTGTGTGTCTGTGTGTGTGTGGTGAGTGTGGTAATGGATGTGAACAGATTTGGGAGCCCAGAATATCCCTCCCGGTGCCCCCTTCCTGCACACCCCCCACTGGCCCCAGGCCTGTCCTCACCCCCACGCCCCTCCCACAGGTGGCCGCTACTGGCTCTTCCGAGAAGCGAACCTGGAGCCTGGCTACCCACAGCCACTGACCAGCTACGGCCTGGGTATCCCCTACGACCGCATAGACACAGCCATCTGGTGGGAGCCCACAGGTCACACCTTCTTCTTCCAAGAGGACAGGTGAGCACCCCTCGAAAGGGAAAAGGCCCGCACTGGGCCCCCACCCTCAGGCCTGCCCAGAAAGAACCCATGGCCTGTGCAGACCGGGCTCCAGGCCCCAGCTGGCCCGCAGCCCGGTGCTTTTGGTCACAGGTATTGGCGTTTCAATGAGGACACGCAGCGTGGAGACCCCGGCTATCCCAAGCCCATCAGCGTGTGGCAGGGGATCCCCACCTCCCCCAAAGGGGCCTTCCTGAGCAACGATGCAGGTACCAGGGCCAGCCCCCTCCCAGTCTACCCAGCACTCACCCTCCCCCCTCCTCCATACACAGAGAACAGGGCTTGCCTGAGGTCACCAGCATCGAGATGGAATGCATGGGGGACACAGCTGTGCCAGGCTACCATTTACCCCATTTACAGAGGCCAAAGAGGGCTTGCGTAAAGGGCCCCAAATCCCACAGTGAGAAAGTTACGGAGTCCAGCCAGACCTGCCTGTGTCCAGAGCTGGTGCTCAGAGCTGCCCCGATCCCCACAGAGCCTTGAGCCTGGCAGGGGTGGGCGGTGAGCTTGGCTCAGAGCGACAGGAGCGGGAGTCCTCCCGGGGTGCCCCCTTACCCGCTTGGCAGGGAAGCATGATCTCTGTCGTTATAACTGAGCAACAGGGAGCTGTGGCTTTTATTTCTCCAGCAGGGTCTCTGGTGAGTTTAAGAAAACCCATCAGCCCTGGTTCTCAGCCTCTGGGTTCTCGGCCTCAGGGGAGACCCGGCTGGCTTTGCTAATGCTCGGGTGGGTCACACAGCTGCCGTGCGTGTCACACGGCTTCCATGCGTGATGGTTTCACTCTGCAGCTGCTCTGACCTCCTTGTGCTAAGCTGAGTATAGACGTACCTGGTGGTTCAAACCTGGCCCTTCCTGGAGTTAAAGGGATGTGGGTGGAGTGCCCAAGACCAGAGATCTGGTCCGAGGCGGCATCAGTCCCCTCTCCAGGTCTGATGCAGGCTGACTGTGTGGCCTTGAGCAAGACACTGGCCTCTCCGGTGCCGGGAGAAGCCAGGCCTGGGTCCCCTGACTGTAGCCCACAACCCAGCAGGCTACCGGACCCTTCTGTGCACTGCCCTAGTCAATGTCAGCCCAGCCGGGAAGCACAGGATTGTAGTCGTGCCCCTGACCTAAACCCTGTTCTTCTCTGAGCATGGTCTGGCTCCTATAAGTTGGTAAGCAAGCGAGAAGGATGGTGTTTTAAAGCTGGGGCCCCTTCAGCTCGCCCTGGTCTTCTTCGAGGTCTCTGGCCGGTGGGTGGGCCCCGGCCTGACACCTCTCCGGTCTGCTTGCCCTCGCAGCCTACACCTACTTCTACAAGGGCACCAAATACTGGAAGTTTGACAACGAGCGCCTGCGAATGGAGCCCGGCTACCCCAAGTCCATCCTGCGGGACTTCATGGGCTGCCAAGAGCACGTGGAGCCGGGTCCCCGATGGCCT